ATTTTAAAACCATCGAATTAGTTTAATTAATTTCTGCGAGATTTAAAAAGATAATATTTGATTCTTTTATTTTCGGGAATTAATAAATATATATATATATATATATATATATATATACAGTTTTACTGAAAAATAAAAAATATTTTCAAAATATTCATGCCTTTTTGAAAACAAACTTCAATTGATCAATGAAGGCGGCATAAAATTGAATCCGGCCCTGCGTATAACGTTGAAAATGTGTACAAATTTTGCACTATTTTATTAATAGACGAAGTTAAAATGTTTAGAAACTATGACTAGCCTCATCACCAGTGCAAATATAAATAAATAAATTTAGTTAAATACGTCATGAAATCTGTCTTGTGTAGAATGAATGTGTGAAATGTGTTAATATCTTCAATATTAATATTCTTTCCACTGGTATATATATATAATTGTATACATATATATGACGAAAATATTTAATAGCTTTGTGTAAGTTAATAATATTGTAATATTAAGAATAGTTTCATATAAATATATGTAAATGGAATTAATTAAATCTTTAGATAATAATAATTGTGCATGATATGAATGAAAAGAATGATATTTAAATATAATTTTGCAATCTTAATAGCTAATGTTAATAATAAATGTTTAAACTCACCGATTTCGGCATTTTGGAAGCCTTTGCTAACAGATCCGATCAATGTCACCTGTGGATATTGCTTAAATCAGACCAGTATATAATATTAAAGCAAACACATTTGGGAATTAATATCTAAATTAAGGTATAATACGAACAAAAAATAATTTATAACAAATTTCCGGAGAACTGTATATAAACTTCATAACAAATTCTAAAAATTAGATGAACTGTAAATATGTAAAAATGACACGTCTGATCAGTCAAATCAAAAAGGTGGCAACATGCAGAGAAAGTAAAGGGGAACCACAATTGAAACAGGTTAAGTATGAATCGATGGTAGAAAAAATTATTTCAATTTACTAAAATAATTAATTAAGATAACACTGGATATTCTTCAAAACTTTTCCGATAGCTTCACAAAATTTGCACTTCAGATTCCAGTACGACAACAACAGCTAACTGCCGGTGGAATTAAGATTCTTAAGTATGATTATTAGTAGCCGAAGTAAATTAAACAATACTTACAATTAAATAATAACTAATGAACTATTTAACGATTTTAAACATGCGTGTTTAACAGGTAGCAATATTTGTGTCACTAAACACCACTAAATACACTTTAACATTCCATTGATGTACGTACACACCCAATGACACCCAACTCCAACTGGAGTTATCTCACGAGCAGAATACTACAGCGACATCTTTCGCTCGGTTTGCGCAATAAATTGTAAAGCTGGGTTCAAATTGAAATAGTAAAACTGTTTTAAAATATCGCGGTAATAATAATTATATTATACATAAGCGTAATATGAAAATAGTTAATAGTAGCATTATGTCCTAAGCCTAGTTGTATGAACTTCCCGAAATGTTTAATAATTGACTTAAGGGGTTACACCACTGTAGCAGCAAAAAAAAACGTATGTTTTTACCATTTTTTTCGGTAGGAAGGAAAAGTATTAAAATCATGATATTAAAGATAGTTATTCATTGCAGTTTAAAGTAACAAAATAAAATATAATACTAAAAAAAAAAATTAAAAATGGCGGTACTACAGCCATTTCGGCGAGCTGCGTCAAAATTCGCGACATGCAAATTAACTACAACAATTTGAATTTTGTTGTCTCGAATTTCTTACAGTATATTTAAAATTACATTTTTAAGTGCCCATCATAGGAGATCTTTATATGTTAATTTGTTCATCAATTATTAACAAATTACTATCCGTTTTTTTTTCGTTGAAATTCAACGATTTTGAATAAAGTGCTCGCCAAACAAACAAAAATCGATATTTTTCAAATCCGCTATGATGGGCACTTTAAAATGTTATTATAAATATGCTGTTGAAAATTCGAATGAAAAAAATTAAAATTGTTGTAGTTATTTTGCGTGCCGCGAATTTGACGCGGCTTGCCGAAATAGCTGTTGTACCGCCATTTTTAATTTTTTTTTACAATTATATACTTTATTTTGTTACTTTAAAGTACAATAAATAATTATCTTTAATCATGATTTTAATACTTTTCCTTCCGTCCGAAAAAAAATACGTTTTTTTTTAATGCTACAGTGGTGTACCCCTTAAGGGCACTGCCTAGTGACAACCTTAAAAAGGCCATTTTTGGGAATTAAAAAATAACAAAACCAGTGAATCCGTTAAGAGTAAATTTATACATGTTTTGAGAATACACAGTTAATTTTTTGAAATAAAATATTAAATATTTTTGAAATTACACGCGATATTCGGCGGCGCCAAGAAAAAAAGGTCCTTGGGTCCTCTGCTGCTGGAGTGATTGCAGCCTCCTTCTCCGTTGATAAAAACAAAAAAGCAAAAATTCTTGTGAAACTATAACATATTTTCTGTACGATGACCCTCGGGAGAACAAAAAAATGAAATATTGACAAAATAGCGGCATGCTGAATAAAAAGTTAAATTTTTTCCCAAAATTTGGTCGTTTTTGGTCTGCCAAATTCTATTTTTGATCAGATCAAAAAACTGGAGGGTCGTTGTATGGAGAACTATATAGAGGAGATGCAAAAAAAATTGATAGCGATCGGATCATTTGTCTCCGAGTAATCAGTCCAGCAAATTCGAAAAATCTGTTTCGAAAAAAACGCGTTTAAAGATAAAATGATCGTTTTCACTATTATAAATGCTACTATTTCAAACAGCTGTAACTCAGAAACTATTTTAGATATCGATTTAAAATTTTAGTATGTTATTTTTAAAACAATAATCTATGGCAAAAAATGAAATTCGATTTTTTGAAAATTTCACACTATAGAAACCTATAGGTGTGCCCCTTAATCAACCGAAACTGAGAATAGATATGAGAGATAGATAAAATTTTCAACTATTCATTTCGTATATAAAGTTTTCGCTGTAACTTAAATCTAAGCAATGCTAGCATTGCAATTTCCAATTGAATTCTCTCAAACACATTTAAATTATCTGTTATAATAATTATAGTGCACGTGTCGCTTGTATATACTAAAATTTTTTCTTTAGCTTTTTAAACCGATTTTTAATTAATTTATATAATTCAATCAATTTAGGACTGTTTAGTGCATGAACTTTATCGCTAAGTTAAAATTTATTAAAAACGTCGAAATATATATTTTAGAAAATCTAGTCAATAAATTATTTTGTGAAATATTAAGCATCTGTTATAAAAAATATTGGTACGATTACATATATCATGTACGTAGTTCTTGATATTATTTAATCATTTGAATTTAATATTAGAGTATAAAATAATATTAATTTTATAAATAATAAATTAATTTATAAAATTAATATCGTAAATTAATATTATAAATTAATATTATTTTAATATTATTAGATAACATTTTTTACACAACTAGAGAAGTTTTGTAGACTACTCTTACTTACTTTTTTGCTAATTCCAAAGCCATTTATAATCGCGTTTCTCCGTCTCTTCTTTATTTAGTTTATTCCAAATGCTTTTAAATTTATGAAATTCAAATTTTGACTTTATCACATCTCAAAAGCAACTTTTGACACAAATTCTGACTATCACATTTTTTAAAATATTGATAAATGTTTAAAATTGAACGACTTATCGTAAGACCGTAATATTTTAGTATGTTCTTTATGGTCATGATATCTATCAACTAAAACTTTCATCGAATTTTTTCTCAACAGTTAATTACAAAGAAACGGTTTGGTCGGCATTTGCCCAAAATTAATCAGCACGACGATACCCAAATTTAGTACGCGGCTTACATTATCACGTCATAGTTCATTTATGTTATTATTTTTGTATTATTGTTATTACCGATTATCATTATTTTATTTTATTTTAACTTTTTTTCATTTTATATTTTTTTGTCTTAATTCTTTTTTTGCACCTATCAATTTTGTAAATAAGACATTAAAGTCTTGATTAACAAAAATAAATTATAACAAAAAAAAAACGATACCCAAATAACATCTTTCGAATAGATATATTTTTTGAATTTTCAAAACCGATGCAAAATTTTGCTAATCACAAATAAGCGGCTCGGCCGATCGTCGCAACCTGAGAAACGATAGTCCTTATCGAGTAAACATAAAATGAGCAAATCAGATTTTTGGGCAAAACAAACTTCTCCCACGAAAAGTTTTTTAAAGTAAAACTATGAACTGTAAACTATGCCACGTGTCTAATGTGCATATTCATTATTATAAAAAAATTCAGATAACGCGAATCACCAATGCTTTATGCACCTTGCAGCTATTTTTAAAGAAACGGTTAGGCTGATCCTCTGGCAAAACTAAGAAGTGTTTGTCGTTTTTCGCTTTTAGAGAAAAAGTCGACAACATATTCATAAGTACGCACTTTTTCCCTTTCAGGTATCAAACAATTAAAATGACTTGAAACGCCGTGAAAACATAAAATTAGCAAATCGAAAACAAAATTTTCCTTCGGAAAGATAACAAATGTGATAAATTACTATTCCATACAGTAAATTATTAGTAACTCCTTATCATCTCCTTATAAATGCACTGAAAGTACATTAAAAACAATTAGAGTTGGCATCAAAACACGATAGGATGCGGGTTATAAGTTTTCATAAAACAAGGATTTTATTGATTAAATAAAATGTAATTATAGAATCTTTTTAATCATAAAAACAACGTCGTTACTTAAATAATTATTTATTACTACAATTAACGTTTTATTTTTTCATAGATCACACCTTTTCTCAATACAAATATTTAGTAAATTTAATAGTGATATATGTATTAAAACTTTAATTCTATACCATGTCATTGTGTTTTTATAAATAACTTCATTGTAATTTTATCTTTTAGAAGCTTATTATATATTTATATATTATATATAAATAAAATTTCAAGTATTCCAAAGATTCAATTCCTTCTTCGTCGAACTCTTGATATTCGCCATGAATTAGGCTCTTCATATTTATTGTATAATGGTTCCAGTCTTTGATTTTTCTTAAATTTAGATAATTTTGTAGGGTCACTAAATCTAAAGAATGCTGGTGCAAATTCTACAAGCCATTTGGGATCAATTGTTGTGACTTCCCTCATATATTCTTTAGTAGTTTGTACAAGCTCATGATACACAACCCATTCTGGTTGTCTGTTGAACAAAGCACTACTAGGATGTATATAAACTACTTGTGAATCTACTAGAGTTCGATAACCTTCTTGTGGGTCCTTTTTTGCAGCATTTCTGAAAAAGCCTGATGCAACAGTTTTTTGTACCCGAACAGTGTTTCTCCCAGATGAAACCACATCAAGTTTATGTCTGTCCATTATTCCTAATAATTGCTTGCGCACATCTTGTGCTCGTTTTAGAGTTCGTATTTGGACAAAATTCTCATAACACCAAGCATTACTGAATTTATTATTTTTCCAACTATTGTAAACAGCTAATAATGTCAAATGATCGCCTTCAGCTTGGTTAAATTTAGCTTTCTTTTGATCTGCAAGGGCCTGTTTATCTTTGGGTCTGTAGAAAACGTTCTGTACAGATAGCATTGAAACAATTGTAAGAATTTCATCAGAGCATTGCAATGCTACTGACATTATCAACATTTTAGATAAATTGGGCTCTAAGGGAAATTCGGCCATCCTTCTCCCTAATCTAGTCAATAACCCTTCATTATCAAGAGCTGATAATGAATGTAATTGCTCTAACGCCATTACTAATGATTCAACTGGTGGAGCATCCATAAAATCAAAGTGTAGAAGGTCATTGATTCCCATAGTTTTTAATTGTAAAACTGTAGTAGCTAAATTTGTTCTCTGTATTTCAGGAACAGGAGTAGGCAACATTTCATCACGATAAGCACGTTCAGTATAAAGCCTGTAGCATTTTCCAGGGCCTGTTCTACCAGCCCTTCCAGCTCTCTGTTTAGCTGCTGCTTGAGATATAGGGGTTACTACAAGAGAATCCATACCTGTTTTAGAAGTGTATACTTTCTGTTTTACAAATCCAGGGTCAACTACATAATATATCCCATCTATTGTCAATGAAGTTTCAGCTATATTTGTTGCAATAACTACTTTTCTACTGCCTGGTGGCGCAGGATCAAATATTCTAGTTTGCATTTCACTGGGTAATGCAGAATAGACAGGTAGTATCAATAACTCTGGTACATCTGGTCCTAAACTTTTCATACGTTCATACAAAACTTCACATGCCGTATCAATTTCTTCCTGACCTGTTAAGAACAAAAGTATATCACCAGGAGGCTCACGCAAATGTATTTGCATGACTGTGATCAAACTAGCATCCAAATAATCTGTTTCTGGTTCTTTAGTATATAGTACTTCCACTGGAAATGTTCGACCGGGTATTGTGAATATTGGCGCCTCAAAAAAATATTGGGAAAACTTAACAGCATCCAATGTAGCTGAAGTAACAATTAATTTAAGTTCAGGACGTCTTTGAACAGCTTGCTTAAGAAGACCAAATAAAACATCAGTATGTATAGTACGTTCATGAGCTTCATCTAACATAATTACAGAATATGATTTCAAATCCAAATCCATTAGACACTCTCTTAGCAACATACCATCTGTCATGTATTTAATTAAAGTGTCAGGGCCAGTGCAATCTTCAAATCGAATAGTATATCCGACTTCTTGGCCCAGTCGACAACCATATTCTTCTGCAACACGTTTTGCAACCGACATTGCAGCTACTCTCCTTGGTTGTGTGCAACCAACTCGACCTCGTGCTGTAAAACCAGACTCACCTAGATATTGAGTAATCTGTGTAGTTTTTCCGGATCCTGTCTCACCAATAACAATGAGAATTTGGTTATCGGTAATAGCTTTAATTAGTTCTTCTCGTAATTTGTATATAGGTAATCCTTGTCTTTGTTGCAATAATGTTAAATCTGTCTTCTTACCAAATGAGCTTTTATTACCACCAATTACATGTTTTTCCATTCAGGCAAATCTTGGGGAGCCAAACCTACACCTCTCATATTAGCCGCTAAAGATCTATTGTCATCTTCTGGCAATGGATCTACCCAGTTTTTATTTAAATTTGTAGGAACTGCATCAAGCTCTTGTTCCCTTTGCAACATTTTTTGCTCTCTACGCTCTTTGGCTAGGGCAGACTGCATCATGGCTGCCTGTGCTAAACTTCCATCAGGATTTTTCACAATTCTCACAGGACTTAAATCATGCAATGCTCTACCATGACCTTGAAGAAATGGTGGTTCATCTTCTACTATTTCAATTTCTATATCAGCTTCGGCATCATCATCATCTTTAGGTAAAAGCCCAGTCATCATCAAAATCAGGTAATTCTGATCTGTCTATTACACCAGATGAAATCATTTGCTTTATTTCCCACCGTTCTGGAGATGATATTCTTGTAACTCGTTTCCTTGATTCTTCATCATCATCTATATTTCCGTGCAGCTGAAGCATACTAGTTGCACTCTGTTGAGGCCTATCAGGATTACGATTGTTTAAATCATCGGAAATATTTGTATGCAAATGTGCATGTGATTCAGGATTTAAGTCTTTACCTGTAACTTGGCAAACATCCCTCATTGATAATGAAATTTTTTGTCCAGTTATTGACAAAACTTTAACTTTTACTGCAGCCCCTCTTGACACAACTTCTGAAACATCAGTAACTCTTCCTTCAGCTCTTAATTGAGAGATATGAACTAATCCTTCTACACGTTTTCTAATACCAAGTATTTGGACAAAACAACCAAATGGTACTAGGTTCATAACACGACCAGAATATATATGACCTGGTTCTGGATTGTCTTTCAGATCTTGTTTATCTGATTGAAATCGATCAGATGATTCTCTATTATTCCTATTCCTGGATGTCATCTTTACTTCTCGCCTAGTGCGGCTTCTATCTCTAGACCTGCTTCTTTCCTGGATCTTGAGCGTGATCTTCTCCTCCTGGATCTTGAATGCGACCTACTTCTCTTAGATCTTGAATGTGACCTACTTCTCCTGGATCTTGAATGAGACCTACTTCTCCTACGGGAATTGATGAACTCCTGCATCTTTTGGACCGATCTACAGATGTAGATCTACTCCTGTGACGCCTTGAAATATGTCTGTTCTTATCGTGATCTCTGTCTTTATATCTTTTTCGATCCCTATCATATTCTTTATCATTATATTTGCTTTTAGGTTTTCTACCAGTGTCCCTATGATTATCTTTAATTTCATCACTCTTTAAATCAACTTCATCATTTTTACTGCAATTGGCAACCTTATCAGATTTAATATTTAAGGCGCCAATGACTCGAATTCTGCCATAA